GACGCCCCCGGAGCCCGGCCCACCGGTCCCCACGCTGGACATCGGGCTGGACTCGTGCGTCATCCCGCTGCGGCACGGCGGCCTGTCGCTGGTGCAGACCACCGACTTCTTTTACCCGCTGGTGGAGGACCCCTACATGATGGGGCGCATCGCCTGTGCCAACGTGCTGAGCGACCTGTACGCCATGGGCATCACCGAGTGTGACAACATGCTGATGCTGCTCAGCGTCAGCCAGACCATGCCCGAGGAGGACCGCGAGAAGGTGACGCCCCTCATGATCCAAGGCTTCCGCGACGCCGCCGAGGAAGGCGGCACGGCCGTGACCGGTGGCCAGACGGTGATCAACCCCTGGATCATCATCGGCGGCGTGGCCACCGTGGTGTGTCAGCCCAACGAGTTCATCATGCCCGACAGCGCGGTGGTTGGAGACGTGCTCGTGCTCACCAAGCCCCTGGGGACCCAGGTGGCCGTCAACGCCCACCAGTGGCTGGACAATCCCGACAGGTGGAACAAGATCAGGATGGTGGTCACCAGGGAAGAGGTGGAGCTGGCCTATCAGGAAGCCATGTTCAACATGGCCACCCTCAACCGAATCGCCGCGGGCCTCATGCACACGTTTAATGCGCACGCGGCCACAGACATCACGGGCTTTGGGCTCCTAGGGCACGCGCAGAACCTTGCCAAACAGCAGAGGAACGAGGTGTCCTTTGTCATTCACAACCTGCCCATCATCGCCAAGATGGCAGCCGTTAGCAAGGCCAGCGGCAGATTTGGGCTTCTCCAGGGGACTTCCGCAGAAACCTCGGGAGGACTGCTGATCTGCCTCCCGAGGGAGCAGGCAGCCCGCTTTTGTTCCGAAATCAAATCTTCCAAGTACGGCGAAGGCCATCAAGCCTGGATCGTGGGCATCGTGGAAAAGGGAAACCGGACGGCCCGGATTATTGACAAGCCTCGAGTGATCGAAGTCCTACCTCTGGGGGCCACGGCGACTGCCCTCGCTCCTGACAATTTCAACACCACCTCGGAGCCAGCCTTATGAGATGGGAGAGCCGAAGGCAGGTGGCCCCTGGAGCCTTGGTACGCAAAGAAGAACACCTTTCCACAGGCTGCCTGCGTCTGCATAGCGGGCCCAGCCACCCTCCATCAGAGGTGAATCACTTCATCAGAACCAGCTGTGGGGTACATGCCAAGGCCAGGAGTAACCTGCGGGAGTCTGAGGGGGGTAGTTTTCTGTCATCTCGTGGGTAGGAGAGGCACCTCTGCTTCCTCTTTTCCAAGCGCAAGATGAGGCTGCTTTAAAGGATTTTTTTTTTTCTTCTCTTTGCACTGGGTTGATTCATTGCCGCATAAGGAATGAGATTATTTATTAAAAGTAAATTATATGCACACACACAAAGTCAATTGCAAAGTGAAACAAACAAACAAATGCAAATAAGCTTGGATCAATATTTTGATACAGTTAAATTGATCAGAGAGAGAACTTTATGCACGGTCCAGGCCTTTATTAGACATTCCTGAAGAACAAGCGAGCGCCTTCCTGCTCTGGACAAGAATTGAGCAGCTTGTCCACTGTCTGGGAAAGGTGGATCCGGAACCATCTGACGTGGTCTCTGTTAATGATGTTTCTCCCTCAAAACCCCGTGAAGGACCGGGAGAGACGGAGCAAATGCCAGAGCCCAGGCCTTGGTGGTCATTTGTCATTCAGGTGTTAAATCGTGTGCCGACAATGAATTCTTGGGTGATTTTATCAATTAAATTTTTAAAAAGCAAAAGGAAATAAAGCTTGGTTGAAGAGATTCTGGCTCATGGTTGGTTTCTTACGGCTCCAGCTCGTTCGAAAGTGGAACAAGGGATAGAGGTTAGACTCTGATAACATGTCAAGTGTTTATCCTGAGCCCAAACCAGGAATGTCACCCATCGATTCAGATTTAGACCTGCCTCCCACGCAGGGACACCAAAGGCCCGAGAGGTGTAAACCCAAGGACTACAAGGGGGTCAGCAATCTCAGAAGATGGGGGCGGGGGCCAGGTGAGAAGCCCTGGCAGTGCTGCAGTTAAAGCACTCAGCTACCAACCGGGAGGTCAGACTTTAGAGTTTGTCCGGCCAGATCTGGCAATCTGCTTTCGTACAGACCGACAGCCCTGGAAGCCCTATGGGACAATTCTGCCCTATTCATTGGGTTACTCCGAGTCCATTCGACCCTGGTGGATTTGTATTTCAGGAAGGTTTGGGGGCCGGTGGAAGAGGATTTAGCAGAATAGAGGAAGCCAAAATGTCAGTGCCTTCCAGTGGGAGCATTCCCCGCCCCCGCCCCCCCCAGGAGCTTGGAGATAGGCTCTGAAGGTACAAAGGAGATGTGGGGGTGGGGGCGCAGGGAGTGGTAGGGAGAAGACAGCCTTTTAAGGTCTGTTAACGGGAATTAGGTCTTGGAAGTCCTCTCACTGCCACCTACAGCCAGATGACTGCTTCTCAGCTCTGCAGGTAAGGGCAGGTTTTTTTCATGATCTAGAAAATAGGAATTTAAAATGACATCAAAGTCAAGGACAGTAGGCCCAGGGAGCCTGACCAAAAACTGAGGAATTACAAATGGAAGCAGCGGCCTTGGCACCGTTCCTCAGATTTGTATCAAAACCAATGGAGACGTTTCTACTTGCCCCTGCCTCACACACAGGAGAGGCCTGGAGAGAGAGTGTGGATATGTGTGTGTGTGGGTGTCCTCCCAAGTATGAGTGTAGGGGGTGGGGGGCTGGAGGGAGGAGGACTGGGGAGGGTGGTGGTAAAAAAAAGTATATGTATTAGTCTGGGTACTTTATAAAGAAACAAATCCACAGAAACTCATGTATAAGAGTTTTATATAAAGGTTAAGTGTGCATCAAGAAATCATCCCAACCCAGTGCTGTTCAAGCCCACAAGTCCAACATTAACCCATATGTCGGACACCAATCCACAAAGTCCTCCTCCATCTGAAAACAGGCAATGATGCCGACTGGAGGAGGCAGGAGGAAAGCCGAGTTAGTGAATGTGTAAGCATCTCAGCACTGGCTGGGCTCTCCACACAGCTGCTCCAGCACCCAGGGCTACAGTGGGGTAGGTCCATGCGGCTTCCTCAGGGATGTCTTGCAGGAAGTGAGCCTTGCCAGCTGAAGCAGGGAACTGCTAAAGCAGCTGCACCCTGGTGCAACCATCAGAAAGCACAATAAAGTACCTCAATATATATAATGTCAAGGGAGCCAGCCCCTAACAATTCATCATGGGTCCAGTAGCGCAATTGTACAGCGATGATAAATAAAGGTTATAGTAAAGTCATATAAAATAAGAGAGATGGAAATAATGGAGTCAGACACATTTCATAGTAGCATGCTCACCTCAGTCCCGCTTGGTGGTCCATGTGGAGATGGAAGAGGAGAGAGCAGGAGGGGAAGGAGGACAAGGGGAGAGGGGAGAGTAAGCAAAGGAGAGGGGGCAGGGGGGCAAGGATGGGGGAGAAAGAGCTCTTTATCATTAACCAAGGCTTGCATATCTTTGGGGGGGTGTACAAGCCCCCTAATTATAGGTAAAGACATACATCACAGGAAGGGGCTGTACTATAAGTAATACAGTAATGAGAGGGGGACAATCTAGAGGTGTACACCCAATAGGAAAGGGAGGGATTGGGGCACACATGTGACAAGATGGGCGGATCCTAGATTCAGGATGGCAGCCTAACTTTGGATGTCACTGAGCAGGTTTGACCTGTTCTCTGGCTCTCCATGGAAACCATTACTATCCTTATCAGTAGGGTGTGAGCCCCACCTACAGTAGTCTGATGCCTGACTGCCTTCAGGGAGAATATCTCTAAGCATCTGACCTCCCACCATGTGCTGACAAACAGCCTTTAATGTTTGGCATCTCTTTGGGGGAGACAATGCTGGGGAAAAGTATTTTTACATCATATATACATATGCATTAAAGGAAGTTTTTACTCTGTTAAATAGTTAACAGTCTTGGGAAACCCACAGGGGCTGTTCCACCTGCCCTACTGGGTCTTGGTGACTCGGAATTGACTGGCAGGGAGATGTTTCTCTGGCTCGTTTTCGAGTAACCAGTGAGCCCAGAGGGAGTCGTGGGTTCAGAGCTGGGTTGGAAGCCACCGGTCTTCCTGTGGGAGAAAGACAAGGTTTTCTAAGCCCCTCGAGACGTAGTCTCAATAAGGTCCATCCCAGCAGAGCCTGCCTAAGCCTCCCGGAATATTCTGTCCTGCCCTTCCATGCTCGAGCTCCCCGACAGGCAGGCAGCAGACTTGGCCCTTGGCTCGGAACCATTCCTACCTCCCCTTTGTTCCATAGACGGGGAGGAGAAGGTGGATGTTTTGTTTGTCAGAAGGATTATTAAAATCCATCCAGGAAGAGATAAATTGTCTCTGGGGTTCCCTCAAGATGATCGGTTATTTTCAAGGCTCCTGAGGGAGCACGCTGGGAGGTTGACGGAGAAAGGAGGATCTGAGAATTGTTCTACAATGAAGTTGTGTTTTTCCCCCCACAAGTGCCTGTTAATAATTTCAAAAGACTGAAAGCCTCGGAAGCCCAGAGGCAGTGCTATTCTGCCCTGCAGACTCACTCGGAGTTCAACAGACTGGCTGGCAGTGGGGAATGTAATACCTGCCTTCTAGTACTGAGCCACCTTGGGGTGGAGACTGCCCAGCCAAACAGCCTCTCCTAACGGCACTGAGCTTTTGCTGCTTCCTGCTTACGTCTGAGTAGCTCAGGATCCCACGGAGTTGAATGCTGCTACCCCAAAGAAACAGGGCCGGCGGGGGGAGCCTAGGAGCAAATACAGAGAACAGAGGCAAATGGGAAGAAACAAAACTCATTCTCTTCAACAAGATAGAATAATTACAAAAGAACCAAACACTGGAAGCCACAGAAAGATAGCTACAAATGTAAAATGCAGCTTTATATGGCAAAGTTGAGATTCACCAGAAAGGAGAAAAGACAGGCCTCCACCAGAAGAGATCTATGAAAATCGGATGAGCCAGGAACACTTTAGAAGTTATAAAGAATTCAAGAACTCTCTATTCCTTCCAGAAGGAATACAGGAGTCATGCACTATTCGTATACAGGAATTGTTACAATTCATAGAAGAAAGTTTTCTAAAACTTCAAATTGGATTCTCACATACTTCTTGATTCTCAGGGTAGTAAAGGAAAAGAGACCCACACTTAGGAAATGTCAGAATGTCAAGGATAAAGAGACCCTGACAGTAAATGCAAATCTGTGTCGAGTGCGACGTTTGGCCAGTCCTGGAAGAGTCAGCACAGTGTTTGCATGAGCTCATTGAACAATCATTTTGCAAATACAGAGACTCAGGGTCAGGGAAATGAGCAGATTTCGCCAAGGTCTCACAAACTCCAGAATCTAAACACAGATAAACACCATGCAGTTAATGCTGACTCACAGGGACCCTCTAGGACCGAGAACTGCCCCTGTGGGTTTCCAAGACGAAGCCTTATCTTGCTTGCTCCTGTGGAGCGGCCGGTGGTTTCAAACTGCTGGTTATGAGCCCCACGTGTAGCCCCTAACCCACTACACCACCAGGGCTCAATGTGGGGGTGGGGGAGGGGGAGGAACCTCCCTGCCACGGGGTCCATGACAACTCCTGGTGGGCCTGCTTCCTGTGGGGCAGGGTGGAACTGCCCCTGTGCGGTTCCCAGCGGGTAAATCTGGACAGAAGGAGGCAACCTCGTCTTTCTCCCAAGGAGAAGCTGATGGTTTCGAACTGCTGACCTTGTTGTTTGCTGACTCATCACCCCCTACTCCCTATGGCTCCTTTTCTACAGAACCAGCCAAGGAGAATGAAAAATGAAGCGGTTATCCATTCCACTCAAAGGCAAAACCTTGCAGAACATGAACTGGGGCGTGTCGTAGTAAATGACATGATGACCTTTGATGTCACAACTGAAGTGGCTTCAGTTCCGCTTTCTTCCTGCTCAAAGATCTCTTGGCTTTCCATCAAATTTCAACCCTTGCCCAAGAATCACTCTTCAGTCAGTGCCCTCGGGTGGATTCCGACTCTCAGGGACCCTTCGGGACAGGATAGAATTGCCCCAGTGGGTTTCTGAGACAGTCACTCTGTGAAGGAGGAGACAGCACCCCCCCCACACCTCCAAGATCTGCCAGACTGCATATTTCCATGCCAACCACATGTCTCCAACTTTCTCACCCCATTTTCCTTACACCCTCATGAAGCTCTAGACCAGCAGTTCTCAACTTGTGGGTCACGACCCCTTTAGGGGTCGAACGACCCTTTCACAGCGGTCCCCTGATTCATCACAGTAGCAAAATGACAGTGATGAAGTAGCAACGAAAATAATTTTATGGTTGGGGGTCACCACCACATGAGGAACTGTATGAAAGGGCCGCGGCATGAGGAAGGTTGAGATACAGGGGTCCTCAAACTACGGACCCGCGGACCACATGTGGCCTGCCGAGGACATTTATCCTGCCCGCTGGGTGTTTTTGCCCTCGGCAGGCATTTTTTTTTTAACTTCAAAATAAGATATGTGCAGTGTGTGTAGGAATTTGTTCATAGTTTTTTTTTATAACTATAGTCTGGCCCTCCAACAGGGGACGGTGAACTGGCCCCCTGTTTAAAAAGTTTGAGGACCCCTGGTTGAGAAGCACAGTTCTAGACCCATGCTAACGTTTTCTCTGGTGTGGGTTAAAATGCTGCAGGGCACATTGGTTTTCCACTCAACAACTGATGTGCATCTTCATTTGTGACATCGATTGCGATCCCTACAACATATCAATCCCTACAA